TTCTAGGTATTAACATAGGCAATTCATTAGACTCTAATGTACGATACGTGTACCCTTCATGAATCGAAGTAGAACCCCTATCTTTCGATCGGATAAGGAACCTTTCCAATATAACTGAGATTGCATGATCCAAGCTGTTTGACTTTAGCCTGATTTTAATATTTTGCGTCCTTATCCCGTGGACTTTAATCATTTCGAGAAGTGTTCGTGTGTGAAAGATAATACAAATTTCGCTGAACGGGATTTTCGTATCACGAATATAAGTTCAGATCAAGATTCAATAAATCAACATCAGTTTCAGGTTACGAACCATGTGCCGACAGTAGAATTCCAAAAATTCACAATTACATTTCCCCCGATACAAACGTGTCCATTAGATGGTAGTATGTAACATTCGTCGAACGAAACACTCCTATCGCAGCCTCCTATCTACCTTTTCCCAGCAACACCCGGCTAATTGACACGCTATCATCGATTTCCAATCTCCCAGGGTATAATTAATAATAATTGAATCTAAACCGTACGGAGTCGGGAGGCATTGATAAATCGATTACACGATTACACCTTTTTTTTCTCCCTCTCCCTGTCCCCGGAATTAATTAGGAACACGGCCAGGAACGTTTCCTCATTGTGACCGTTTGTGGGGAGGGGGATAGGAAACACGTTGCTCCACATTCGACCGTGTTTTCCTTTATCGACGTCGATATCTGGCCATTCAGATCGCACTAAGAGATCAACCGTTATCTATCACACGTAATTCTCCAGCGCACACGACCATCACCTCTCTCCATGTGTGGGACTGGCGCGCGCGCTCAAGTGACTTACGAGCAACACGGAAATTGATTGCGCCGCATTGACGCCCTGGTGCAACGTGAACGAGCCCCTCTTCTAGCCACTTTTTGTTTTCTCTTTCCTCCTTTCATCCACGCATGGTGTGTGTTATTGCTTAAACGACGTCGTGTACCAGGCACGCTCGATTAGAGACATTTTTCATGTTTTTTTAAAAGGACCCCCACGGGTAGAAAAACGGTGTTTGACTCGGAATTGCTGCATAGACGTTTCACATGTCGAGGCCAGCGAAACGAAGTGTGTCTCATCGTATTGCGTATATACTCCTTTTTACGGCATACACACACACGTTTGACAAACATTTACGAGTTTCGTTTCGTCTCACTGACGCAATACGGTGTGGAACTCTCGTAAAGATTTTTACCATGACCCCTCCTCCTATTAAATGCACCGAGGAGACATCTGCATCGCCCTCGGGAGGGCTCGTTCGCGCATCTTCGCAGATCACAGTCCCGTTCCGATCAGAAATTTGAGACTTTCACAACGATCGACGTACATTTACGAGGATCCTTATGGTGGTTCGAGTCTGATGGTTATGATTCTGATGGTTATCGAAGAGTAGCTTTTTGTTTGGGTGTGTGATCGAGGATTTCTCGACGATGTTCCTGGAACCTAGTTTAGTTTATTGGGGGGCATTACCCGGGGATGATATTTCCCCCAACTTTCCAACCGTTCCAACTTTTTTAAGCCTGGACCACATCGAGATGGCGAAGTACGGGGGGTGGAGAGTCACTAGGATCGTCCCACCATTACCTAATACTATAGCTAATTCCTGGAACCTAATATGCACTTTATTGACCCACGTGCAATTAAGATAAAATACGTCCGACAGACCTGTCGGCCACGTTTATCGTGGATGAAGTTCGGTAATCCCTGTAATTGTCACCATTCGACGTTTATCTAAATCGAGAGAGTTATTTGTAGAGTTGTCCTCTGCATCGTCATCGCGAGATACGAACCCCTTTGTAAACCATGGTTACGTAATCGCGTGTTTTCTTCCGTTCGCCGTTACTTCCTTGTTGCTTAATTAAAACCACGCCTTTATTTACACAACGAAGGTGGGTGGAGGAAGGGGGGAGCAGTCGTGTCGGGTGTAAATGCGGTGTACCGTATCCGGTAAGCGACCCCCACGATCCACGAGATCGATACCGGAATACCGTGAACAGGTATCCGTCCGATCTCGATCGTGCTGGATCACTGTTGGTACCGGGACCGTTGGTTCAATCGGGTGCTCCCTGTTGCCCTCTAATTCGTACGTTTGTACGGGTTTGCGTGGCGTAACGCGTTCCTGTAACGCTGCCAGCCAAGGGGGAGGGGGGACGATTTAGTGGAACGCGATGTTACAGCGCGATCAAATAAAAGGTAATCCACTTTCGACCGAAAATGGAGAGATCGACGTGAAGTCGAACGGGTGAACAACGGGTAATTGGATCCGAAGATGTGGGTAGCCGATTGCGGGGATTGAAGGAAATAGTAGATTGTTGCTAAACTTTTAGGGGAGCTTATTTTTGCACGATTTTTTTACAGTTCGTATTTCCTACAGAAAGATGTGATGGAATACGAATAAGTAGACTGTGGATGTTTGTTTTTTTCGAGAGGAATCAGATTGTGCAAATGATTTTGGATAAACTGTACAGGCTCTTGGTTGTTACGAAAGTTTAAGGAACTTTAGTTTTATACAACGATGTATATTTTACTATATGAGAAGATTGTGTTGAAATATTAATAAAAAGGCTGTGGATGTTTGTTTTTTCAGAGAGGGAGCTGTGATTGTGCCAGTAATTTTGAAGTAGACTGTACAATCTTCGTTACTTTGACGTGTAATTAGGAATCGTCGTAGGAGAGATACCAAGACAGATACGCTATTATAGACTCATTGGATTAAGTTGTCTCTACAGTTGTGTTCCATTGTATTAGGATTAGAGTAGAATTTGCTGATGACCTAGATTGCTCGGATGGATCGCGCACCGTTCGTCTTTAGAACTGTCGTCCCTCCGGATGAGATAGAATAGAAGTCTTTTCTTCGCGTCTACTCGAAAATGGAGGGCCTCGAGCTTCGCTTCCAAATGCAACGGGGCGGAGGAAGATTGATCGCTTCTGTCGCGGAACTCTGGAACGCTTTTAAATGCAAAAAGATGCGTGAAGATCGGATTTTTAAATGAGCCTCTGCGTTCGTGAATTAATGAGGCGCCCATAGAAATTCACGGGCTGATCGGAAGGAGAAAACAGACGTGTGTTCCAGTCACGGGATCGGTTATTGGCTCCGTACAGGAGAACATGTACGCTTGAAGGGTTCTTTGGAAAATTTATTAATTGTTTTTGAGGACAATGAATTGGAAAAAATGATTGAAGGCTTGTTGTGTTCTTTCATCAATTTATTAAATGTCGTTTGGAACAATGTGCTTCATATACTTGAAGATAGCATTTCGAAAAAATACTGTCATAGATAATAGTATATTGCAATAATTAGACTGCAAGTGTTTATGCAAATATAAATTTTTATTTTGTTGAAATTTCTATATCTTATTAAAGGTTCTATTAGGTTACACGTAAACAAAGTACCTCAGTAAACTAGACTAAATATTTTTGTATACTGCGATTTAAAAAATCATAGTAATCATTAATATTCCATTCATTCCCTTAATATACAATTTAAAACTATATACGAAGTATTAATAAGTATCAAACCTCTTGTTAAACCACAGATTCCAATTTTTCTTGTATCTTAAATTTATTGCACCCAGTTTGCAGTAATTATTTTTAGAGGCACGTGAAAGGACACTATTAAAAAAAGTCCACTGCTAAAAAATTCCAAGACCCATTTTTACTTAAATTTCACCGATCAAGAAAGTCATTCGAAAGGTCGCGTGGTAAGCCTCTTCAGAAAATTACACATTTCACGTGGTATTTTTTTCTCTGTCAGGAGTGATTCGGGACTGGTCGTTTCCCCTGTAGAAAAATACGCGTCGAACGTGCCTCGACTTCGAATCGTGTGAGACGCAAATCGAGACGTCGAAAGCGACACGAAACCGGGTGGGGATCGAGGTTCCAGAAAAGGCGACCGCAATTCGTTCGGTCGTCCCTCCCGGCGTAATTTCGCGAGCAATTAGCCGGCTGATGGACGAAATCGCACACATTGTGCTCGTAACTCCGAAGGTAAACACACGTCGACTCATTCGTCGCGAAATTAATTCCATCGTGTCGAGGAAGAGATATCCACGAACGCTTTCGATTCTTTTAATGGGGAGAGAAACGTCTCAATCCGAGGCATTCGAGAAAAGGAACGACCATTCGACGGATGCAAGCAGCTTCATTTACGCCTCCTATTATACTACTGTGCTAATCGTTATTATGGCAGGTCGTTGCATAACTGCAATTACCGCACCGCGAGAAACAACGTTTCTTACGATTGCGCCGTTGCACGCGATATTCTGGGCTTCTCAGGTCTACGAACTCTGGTACGTACAAGGTATTACGTTCCCTTAACATTTCTCGAGAAAGAAAAATCACGTATTTAAGTCGATTGAGCAACTCTTCCATAGGGATAGGCAGAACGATACGTATTTCGCAAACAATCCACGTAGTAGAAGTTGAAATAATTCCGAAGATCGGTTCTGATCGGTCGCCATTTCTATTCAGTTATCTCCGCGTAGACAAATACGCCGTCGGGAGGAGTTTTTCAGTGAAGCGTGCAGCCCGATCGTTCACGATACAATTGTTCGGAGGCAAATATCCGCGACTAATCGAACTGTGTCATCTTAGCGATATGATGTATGGGACAACTGCGTGCGAGAGCGATCTACGCGGTCTGATTCTTCAAGGATGCCAGCGACGTTGACAGGCAACGAAGGCTTGCAATAGTAGGCAGTGTTTCAGCCAAAGATGGGCACAATAAATATCTAGATAAAAAGTTTCGAATAACGAATAAAAGATAAAAAAAAAAGTATTTTTAATTGTTCAAACGTGGAAATTTCAATTTTTATAATAAAATAATACGTCTTTATGAATGAATCGACATTTGTTAGGACGACATTCTTAGATACTGCTGCTTTTCACTGTGTATTATTCGAATAAAATTCTGCACAACTATGGTTTCAGCTTTCCATTGGAACGGTTAAATTGTAAATATTTTTTTGTTCGGTGGGTTTCAGGGCGCTAGATTCCGGGACACCTCGCAACAGATCCACAAGCAATGGCAGGCTGATCCAGCAAGAGCGTTTCCAACAGTTGGCACCGTTACCACAGGTTCGGTCTCCCCCACGTCGGGGGAGATCTCAACCCCGAATTCGACTCCCAGTCCGAGCCCTAGTCCGACCAACAGTCAACAAGTCGTGGTGAGTACCAATCACTTGTCATCGATTTGCCTCTCTCGAAGCGTCTCGAGTGTTTCGTACTACGAGAGGCGAGCAAACTTTATCGGGACTCTTTTCGAACGTTTAAGAATTGCTGAGTTGCATAATATTCTTTACGATATTACCAACGTAATCAAATTCTTAACCGAAGGAAATATTTTCTGTCGAGTCCACAGTTCTGGAAATTACATTGCATCAAAGGCTACACTGCTTCGAATAAAATTGGAGGATCGTTGCTGTGGGTGATTCTGTTGCGTTGATCAAAGGAAAGAAAGAAATGTTAGACGTTTGATAAATTAACATGATTTTCAAAAATTCCCTAAAAAGAAGTAACAAAATAGGTCGGTCTAATGTGGATACTTTTGATTTCGAAAATAACAAAATACAACGTACATATCAGTTTAATAATTTTTTAATAACGATTTGAAGGTCTGGGTGTTAAATTGTTGAAGGAATTATGGCACAATAGAGTATAGATCCTCTAATTGCTTCGTGCAGAGTATAAAGAATTGGTGATCTAGTAATCTTCAGGGTGATAGATAGTGTCTCTTTACAGATTCTTTTTAACTACTCCTAGAATTTACAGGATTCTAAAGATTAATGAGGTGTGTCGGAAAGGTTGCTATTTTTCACTAAGAAATCCGTTAAATGGAAGCTCGACACGCAAAGCTTCGAGAAATCCGGCCTCGTTCCACGGTCCAATAAGGTTTTATCGCTTTGATACACGAAACTACGAAATCTCGATATACACAGGCCTTCCAGGCGTAAATCTCTGCAGAAGCCGCGAATACCCTTTGAAACTCTCCGAGGGTGTATCAACCACAGCCACGAATCCCCCTTTCTCGATACATATATGGGTCAGGGGTTGAGCGTGCATTGTACAGGGTGTATCACGAATCGACGGGCGATAACTACTTTTCCCTATCATACCAGAAAATCCTTCGAATTCCAACGAACCAGTTCCACGTCACCGTTTTCGAAACGTTTCACTGCAACGATCGTAAACTTCGCAGGGGCCCAATTCGACAGACTTTTGAATTGGTGGTAATACTTTCGAAAGATTGAAAATGTAAATGTACTTAGAGTACCAATTCCTTTTTCCATTTCTTTTCCATGCATTGGAAATCGCAAAATTTCAATGCTCTCATCTTGGTTTTCCTAAATTTTAAAAGAATTCTTTACAAAAATTCAGTCTTATGTGATTAACGATACTGACGTTAATAGAATCAGGTATATTTGTTTGAAATAAAAAAAATCCCTCCGAACCAACTAGATTCTTATTAAAAAAGAACCTTTTAATATTTAACTTCAGAAACTATATAATAAAGACTCTAGAAAGCATCCCTGAATTTTTTCAGATTTTTCGGAAGCCTCTAAAAGAGTCCTAAAAAAGAGGGGTCACGGGGGGTTAATCATCTTTCAACCCACGTTGATTAAAAGAAACAGAATATAATCCCAGTTTAATACACAAGTAACAGAAATCTGGAAGTACGTATCTGAAAAGTAGAGTATCGAAAATACTTTCCAGAAGTACCAGTTTCTGTTCTCGTTTTTCAGTGAACGTAACACAGGAAACGTTAAACGAATCCTTCGTCGGAGAGGTTTTTCCACGATTTTCATTTCTCTGCTATTATCCCGATTGCCGGTTTCCGGGGTGCATCAGCAGAAAGCGCGGGGATATATGGAGCCGCGCGCGAGTGCATACAACTAAACGCACACGGGCATTGTTCGTGGGAGACTATCGGTATGCGAGAGAGCCCCGTACATCCAATTGAACCGGTCGAGAAATCGGGGCCGAGCGCAGCAACCCCTAGTCTCTACACAGTGCCATTGTACTCCCACGACTGTGCGGAGTTTGATTCTAGGTCACCAGGACTTAATGAGAAATTACTAGCTGTATACGGAGACTTCCGGGCGAACTCGTTGCGTTGGAACTGATAGATTGGATCGTTGGAATATCGTTCTGTTTTAATCAACCACCCTTAATTGGTCACGCCGGAATCAATTTCGAGAAAGAGTGGAATTAAACAGAAAGTCATTTGAGACTCTTTTTTTATTACGGGTGAATTTTTGTCAGCATGACCCAAAGCTCAAGTTTGATTTTCAGTCGTATTTTTTTTATTAGAATTATTTATATTGTAATAGTGGTAGCTTAGACATATTTAGATTTAGATACAACGGTAAGGTTCGGGGCGTATCTGAGTTGTAGTTCCTCCGGTGTTGTCCCCCACTCTGGTTTTTATTATTTTTTTTATTATATGTTATATTTAGTCAGTTATTATTCCTTAGCTTATTTGTAGTGCGATACGTTATTTCCTTATGTCAATGATGAAAGGAGTAGTAAGTACTCACCACAAGAGTGTCAGAAGTGGCCCATTAAGATCGAATTATAGGTTAGTTTTTCTTAATTCGATTACAATTTCGGTCACATTTAATTCAGAGAGCAATAATATTACCCAAAGAGGATCGAAGAATATTTGCATACTTCGCCCAGTACAGAGCTCGTGGGTACTATCTAAAATCTTTAATAAAAGTTAGCACATATCGAGCAACCCGGATCCAAGCCAGTCCGTTGAAGGTGGTTCGTTTCGGGAGCTAGACAAAATATCGCGATAATGTCGCAATCGTTTCGGTTAATCTTGTTTTTCGTACCGCGGAGAGATCATTCTTGTCGCAAGGTTAACGACTGGCCTGATACCGCGGTATCGTTTCAGCGACATCGACAGCAATTTGTATACATGCATGTATACATATATGTATACTCTCCCTGGGCGAGATCGTCGATGATCCCATCCTTATTTTATTTTTTTATTTTTTGTTGCCCGGCTGACCTAATTAAGCAACTCCGAGGGCCTCGTAGATTACCATCGCGCCACGAATTCAGTCGTCCTCCAACCGGGAAATAAAACCGCAACGATCTACGGCCGTGGCGTCGATTAAACGACCGGTGCCTTCCATCGAAACCGTCCAATCGGTGTAAAGTCCAATTGGATTATCAGCGGTCGGTTCAATTGTACGGCACGTATTGCAGCCCCGACGTTATTATCGCATTAACGTCGATTAGTCGTTGCCCGGATCGGCCTCTAACGTCCAAACATTATGACACGATAACCCGTGGAAATTGAAGTCCTTCGTTGGCACGACCAAAATGATACAGGCTGATCGAAAGCTGCTGGAGTGAAATAGATCGATGGAAGGGATAGAAATACTGATAACAAAGTGACGATGTATAATCGATTAGCAGTTTTTATCGATTTCAGAATATAAGTCTGACGAAGTTAATAATTTACAATACTGTTTCTTTCTATTAACTCCGGTCCTCTAAGTGCAAGTGACCATTCCCGCCCATTCAAAATTTCCCCAGCAATCGAGTATTCAATGCTCGTAAAAAACCAGATTAGTAACTGCAACGACGATGATTCATCGTATCAAAGATTCCCTTTCATCGTCGAAATTTGTACGCTGCGCAGTTGGCTGTCGGGCTAACTTACCTTCCGGCTACTTACCTTTCGGCATGCAAAGAAGTGACTACCCCCGCGATTCGAGCGAGAGTTCAGTGAATCGACTGCGGGGCTTCCATTGGCCTGGCGAAGCTCGTCTTACCAGGTCATGATTAATCCTCGAAACGTTTTCAACAGGCTCGTATACTCGACTCCTTTCGTCGGGCCCACGAGTTAATTAACCACAGGTCTGGGGGGTAGTTCCCCTTTACGCCTTCGGCTAGATAAACGAATCGATCGTGGAGTCGATCTTTCGATAATTTATGTCTTAATCAGCCCTGATGATCTTATCGCAATTATTAGCGCCGAATAAACTCTTACATATACAGTAAATCATCGATAGCTCCTTGGCACTGACAGGGGAGTATGGCGGATCTGACCAATGATGGCGAAATTCCGATAAAAGCATCCCCCTACCTTCAACGTGTCCCTGTCCACCGCAGAAAGACGCAATGAATCGATGAAATTCACGACTCCCTGTTTCGCGTTCCAGCATCGCTTTCGGCCCGGCTGGAAATCGGTTGCTACTCATGGTAATGGCGGCGGGGGTATGAGAACAAGAAAACCGAGAAGCCCGGGGTCAAGAGGGTCTCGACGGGGCTAAAAACGAGGAGGCGAGAGCAGGTCCTTGAGAATCCTGCAGCTGCCAGTCGTCATCGGTTCATTGAACGCTAGGGGGAAGAGGGGGAGTTACCCGTTCGTGTTCCACGTCCTGCCTGTTTGGTTGGCCCGCTTTCGGGGAGGGCTAGGGAATAGGGTTGAGGTCGTTCGAGTGTCGGGCGGGTCGCGACGGTGACGCAGCTGGATACGTGCTCCCTATATTTTCTTTTTCGGTGTTCCCTGTTGTCAGTAGCGTGTCATAATAATGTATTCTCCGCGCGACGATTCGTTATTAATGATCTACGAATCGTCTGTGACAAATAGAGAGGCGCGTTAGCCTTCCGGTAGTCGCACTGATTGACCCCTGTGTCTGTCAACTCGTAAAAATATTCCTTCACCTAGGTTCAAATAATCTGCTTCGCCATGTTTATTTGCATTTTGTAAACGATCTTAGTAATTCTTTTTAAGCTTAATGTTGACAAATAGGTGATGTTTATTTTAAAGAATTTGCAAGTTTAACTATTTGTCACTCCATTTCATTAATTTCTATCACTGGGTCAATTTGATACCGAGGGACAAATTAAATTGGGAAAATGAGGGAGGGACATTTCTGCTCGTACAAATAGACTTACCACTTTATATATCAATTTTTTTAGAGCCTAAATTGCCGATATAGTATTTTCAATGAATATTCTTTTATCCTTTTTGCCACAGTTAGAACAAAGTAACGTTTGATATTCCACATAGTTTCCTATGAACTGGAAGTGACGAATGATAATTAGACAGATTGCGGAAAAACGATCGAGTCTCTCGCCGTTCCTTCGCTATTCAGATAAGACGGTTCGAGTACAGGGAACCTTTGTTCGTCCCTTGGCGGGAAGC